CTCTCTCTCTCTCTCTCTCTCTCTCTCTCTCTCTCTCTCTCTCTCTCTCTCTCTCCTCTCTTGCCTGCTTGCCAACCACCACACTCTTCCATCATGATGATCATGAACTAACCCACTGAAGCTGTAAGCAAGCTACCAATTAAATGTTTTGTTTTTTTTTTCTGTAAGTCTTGTTGGCCATGATGTCTCTTCACAGCAATAGAACAGTAACTAAGACAATATGGAAGCACAAAAGACCCTGATTAGCCAAAGCATCTGTAGCAAAAAGCAATACTGGGCATATCACAATTCTGACTTCAAATTATGTTACAGAGCAATAGTAATCAGAATAGCACAGTGTCACCACAAAAACAAACACATAGAAAAATGAAGTAAAATAGGAAAAAATAAACTTGTAAGTACATCCACCCCATTTTTGACAATGCTGTCAAAAACACATTGGAAAGAAGACAGCCTCTTTAACAAGTGGTTCTGGGGAAACTAGATTTCCACAAATGAGAACCACATCCCTCACCCTACATAAAAAACCAATTCAAATCAAAATGAATCAAAGATTTTTGTTTTGTTTTGTTTGCTTTTTTAGACGATGTCTTTTGTAGCCTGTGCTGGCTTCAAACTTGTTCTGTAGCTTAGAAGTTGGATTTGAACTTCTGATTCCCCTGTCAACACTTTGCAAGGGCTCAGATTATGGGCCTGTACCACTGTGTCTGGAGCTGAGTGAAAGGCCTTAATGTAAGATCTTAAACTTTGAAACTGATAGACGAAAACATAGTTGCCTTCAAGATATGGGTACAGGCAAGCATTTCCTACAAAGGACTCCAATAGCACAGAAAATAATCCCAAGAGTTGATGGATGTGATTATATGACATTAAGAAGCTTCTCCATGCCAAACAAAATAATCATCAGAGAGAAAAGGAAGCATACAAAATGGAAAACAATCTTTGTCAAACAGGGCATTAAAGTTTCATAAAATGTATAAAGAGCTACAAAAATCAAACACTCCAAATCTTCCAATCAATAAATGAACTAATGAATTCAACAGTCAGTTCTCAAAAGAAGAAATATGAAGAGCTAATAACCGCCCGAGGGAAAAGTGTTCAATACCCTTGACTACCAGAGAAATAGAAATAAACTTCTTTGAGAGCTGCTGAGACAGCTTGGAGGGTGAAGGGGTTCACTGCTGAGCCAGACCCCTGGAATTCAATCCCTGGAACTCCCGTGGTGAAATGAGAGAACCAACGCCTGCAAGGTGTCCGAGTGGGCACTGTGGCACACACACACACAACACTTAAAAACTGCTTTGAGATTCCATCTCCCTTCAGCCAGAGAATGGTTATCATCAAGAAAACAAACAAACAATGATAGCAAATGGCGGTCAAGATGTGGTCAAAGAAGAAACTTATTCACTGCTGGTGGGAGCCATGATGTAAATCAGCAAGGAGATCCCCTAAAAGGCGACTGAAAGTAGAACTACTCTGGGACCCCATACCATTCTTGGGTCATCTAGTCAACACACCACAGAGATAAATATCCACATTCATCACTGTACTAGTCACAGTAGTCAAGAAATTGAACCAGTCTACATGTCCATCAATATTCCATCTTGGAGGCAAGCTCCTTAAGACACAGAATATTCTTTTTTTTTTTTTTTTTTTTTTTTTTTTTTTTTTTTTTTTTTTTTTTTTTTGGTTTTGCGCCTTTCCTGGAACTCACTTGGTAGCCCAGGCTGGCCTCGAACTCACAGAGATCCGCCTGCCTCTGCCTCCCGAGTGCTGGGATTAAAGGCGTGCGCCACCACCGCCCGGCCTAAGACACAGAATATTCTGAAGGGAGGTAGAACATTCCATTGTGCAGGAAAGCTCATTCCATTGTGCAGGAAAACTTGGGGACTAACAACTCAAAAGTTTTAGGAAGAGCCTGAAACTGACCAGACACATGAGGTCCCTCCCTTTCCAAGCTTACATAAGCACAATGCCAGCTGCCTAGAAGAGGCAAATCTTGCAAGCTGCCTGAAACAAGCAGAGACCAGCTGTGGTAGTTTGAATGTAATTGGCCCCCCTAAGCTCATAGGGAGTGGCACTATTAGGAGGGGTGGCTTTGTTGGAGTAAGTGTGACCTTGTTGGAGGAAGTCTGTCACTGTATGGGTGGGCTTTGAGATCTCATATATGCTCAAGCCATGCCCAGTGTCTCAGTTCGCTTCCTGTTGCCTTCAGTTCAAGATGTAGAATTCTCAGCTCCTTGTCCAGCACCGTGTTTGCCTGCACACTGCCATGTCCTGCCATGACAGTAATAGACTAAACCTCTGATCTGTAAGCCACCCCAATTAAAT